CATCAATCTTAATTTTCTCAAAGCTTTGTACTTCAATGCCCTTTGGTTGATATCCTATGGGAAAAAAAACAACAAGAGGACATGGGCCACATCGCTCACCTGAGCACTAAGGGTAGGAAAAAGTAGAAAATGGATTTTTATTGTAAAGTTTAAATCCAAAAGTAGTCCCATGACCAATCATGGATTTGCTATTTTTTAGAAAATGATTTTTTAAGAATTTTCCTATATATATCTTTAACAAGAGGCCCACGGGCCTTATAGGTCACCTGAGTATCATGTAACAAGTTTCCAGCGATTGTATTTGCTTCGTGTTTTAATCCAAAAGCCATGAAATTCACAAATTTTGAAAGAGGCACCATTGCTTATCAAAGGGCAGATTTCAAAGCATTAATTTATTTTTAGTCAAAGTACCCCCCTGGTACTCCTGACCCAGGGGCCCTGAAATTATCTATTTTGAAAGAGGCCCCTTTCTTCATTATAAGGCCAGCATTTTTTTTATGTGTAGGTTTAGTTATGAACCTGAGAATAAAAAAGTCCCAAAGGAGAAGGAAATAAAAAAAAAAATTGGATAAATCAATTATTAACATTTGTACATTTTGCTATTCTAATAGGCTCCTTACCACTGGACACATGATGCTTAGACTGTAAGCTATAACAGAGACCTAAACAATGTCGCTGGCAATATGCAATAGCTACCACGGGCAGTTTAAAACCTTGGGGAGGAAAATAATTTACCGACAGATACTTTTGAAACGAATACATAATTATCTCACCAGCATGTCATTGTGCAACAAAGTCGTCAGCATTTTATTTGTCCTTTGAACGGGTGAAACGTTTTGAATGGCACTCGTATCGATGAATTTTACACTAAACCAAGCTATCTTCATTTACCCGCCGTTTCATCTTAAAACCGGAAGTGCGAGTTCGTAAATTTGAAATCTCGATCCCGACTCAAATTTGACATCGGAAAGAAAAAAATTGTTTTATTTTTTCTGAAAATTCAAAACCTTGAATTGAGGGTTTGTAAAACTGAAAATAAAATAAATCCTAGCCTTAAATATGTAATTAGATCATTAGTAGGAGCAAAGGATAAGATGTTCAAAGAATTCATGCATTTCACTGTATAATCATTAGAGCCCCACCCTAAAACAAGAACCCCTGCCCCTGGGGCCATAAAATTCACAATTTTGGTAGAGGCACTCTTGCTCATCATAACTATGTACTTAGTTAGTTTATTTAATACCCAGGAGCAGAGAAGAAGATTATCAAATAATTCATGTATTATCACTACATAATCAATAGAGCCCCGCCCTAACACCAGAACCCCTGACCCTGGGGCCATAAAATTCACAATTTTGGTAGAGGCACTCTTGCTCATAATAACTATGTACTTAGTTGGTTTATTTAATACCCAGGAGCAGAGAAGAAGATTTTCGAAGAAATAATGCATTTTCACTACCTACTTATTTAGCCCCCCCTAGCACTAGAACCCCTGACCCCAGGGCCATGAATTTCACAATTTTGGTAGAGGACTCATTGCTGATTACAATCATGCAAACAGTTTGACTGCTTGATGTCCAGGAGTAAAGAAGAAGATTTTTAAAGATTGCATTAATTTTAGTGGTTTTGGCCCCACCCCTCAGGCCCCAGGGGGGCAGGGATCACGAAATTCACAATTTTTGTTCCCCTTCACCCATAGATGCTTTGTGCCAAATTTGGTTGAAATTGGTTCAGTGGTTGCAGAGAAGAAGCTGAAAATGTTCAAATGTTAACGCACGACGAACGACGCACGACGCACGACGAACTACGCACGACGACGGACGAAAACGGATAGCAATAGGTCACCTGAGTTTACTCAGGCGACCTAAAAAAAACTAGAAATATGTCCATAGGACATGATTTCCCCGCCAAGGATATATTAGTAAAGCAACATGAAAATTTGAATATGTATAAAATTTGATCAGTTTAGTTCAGGTAGGGCTTATAGTTACTAGGGAATGAAAATATAGGTCAGACCCAGCATCTGAAGCAAGTCTGGCAGTGTCCATCCCTAGATGCATCATCCATGCAAGTTTGGTTCAGGTAGGACTTATATAGTTACTTGGGAATGAAATTTAGGTCAGATCCAGCATCCGAAGCAAGTCTGGTAGTGTCCATCCCTAGATGCATCATCCATATAAGTTTGGTTCAGGCAGGGCTTATAGTTACTTGGGAATGAAAATATAAGTCAGATCCAGCATCCGTAGCAAGTCTGGTAGTGTCCATCCCTAGATGCATCATCCATGCAAGTTTGGTTCAGGCAAGGCTTATAGTTACTTGGGAATGAAATATAGGTCAGATCCAGCATCCGAAGCAAGTCTGGTAGTGTCCATCCCTAGATGCATCATCGATGTAAGTTTGGTCCAAGTAGGGCTTATAGTTTCTTTAGGAATGGACCTGCTCTAAAAACTTTTACCTGGTCACTCATCTGGAAAATGTAGGTCAGATCCAGTATCCGAAACAAGTCTGGTAGTGTTCATCCCTAGATGCATCATCTGTGAAAGTTTGGTTTTGGGTAGGGCTTATAGTTGCTTGGAAATGGACCTGCTCTAAAAACTTTAACCTGGTCACTCATCTGGAAAATGTAGGTCAGATCCAGCATCCGAAGCAAGTCTGGTAGTGTTCATCCCTAGATGCATCATCCGTGCAAGTTTGTATTTACATGTGAATTTTGATAACACCATCATGAATGGTATGTTTAAAACTGAGCTAAACACTAATTTAAGAAAAGTGAGGTCAAGGTTAAAGGAAAGGTCAAGGTAAAAAAATGTTGATGCAGTTGCAAAGCTCTCATCAATATCTATCAGCATATGAAGTTTGATGAAAATATCTTGGATAGTTTCTTTGAAACTTAGCTTTGAACAGAGCTAAACACAAAGTGTGACGGAAGGACGGAAGGACAGAAGGACGGAAGACAGACATGAAAAACACTATATGTCCCGGCCATATTCATGGCGGGGCATAAAAACTATTCAAATGTATATTAATAATATTAATATCACATTTGAAAAGAATTCATGCAGTCATATAGTAAATTAAACATAATCTCTAAAGACCTGACTCATATTCACCTGTTCACTATATAAAAACCCTGTCTTAAGGAGGCTGGGGGGGAGGGGGGGGTGTCATAAACTAACCATCAGGTATAATTTAATTTTAAGATATTATATCTTAAGCTGTCATCTTTCATTTGGCAAAGAAAAATTTCATAGATTTTAGTTTAAAAATTTGCTCATTTTTTGTAGAAGATCAATATAGTTTGAAAATGGCTACAACCACCCAGCCATCTTAAAACACATTACTCACATAAACTAGAAGTCTCTGTCGAGACTGTAGCTCTACTGGTTTATACTTAAAACAAAGGAAGAGAAAAGAAGCAGTTGGGACTTGAGACTTTAAATCAGCAATAAATAGAAAAATGATCCTTGCCACTCATCAAAATAAAAACCGATGCACCGAATTATGTATCTTAGTATAGTCTACTTGTGTGCCAAGTTATATTGAAATCAAACTAAAACTGTACGAGGAGTAGCATTTTAAAACAATTTCACAAAAATTTCTATTCTTAGTAACCATGGCAATACCGTTCATTAAAATCAACAACCTATGCACAGAATTTTGTATCTTAATGTAGTCTACTTGTATGCCAAGTTATATTGAAATCGAACCAAAACTGTAGGAGGAGTAGCATTTTGAAACAAATTCACAAAAATTTCTATTTTAAGCAACCACGGCAACACCATTCATCAAAATTAAAAACCGATGCATAGAATTATGTATCTTAGTGTAGTCTACTTGTGTGCGAAGTTATATTGAAATCGGATTAAAATTTTAGGAGGAGTAGCATTTTGAAACAATTTCACAAAAATTCCTATTTTTAGTAACCTTGGCAACACCATTCATTGAAATCAAACACCAATGCACAAAATAATGTATCTTAAATTAGTATACTTGTGTGCCAAGTTATATTGAAATCGGACCAAAATTGTAGGAGGAGTAGCATTTTGAAACAATTGAACAGATATTTCTATTTTTAGTAACCATGGCAACAACGTTCACCAAAATCAAAAACCGATGCACAGAATTACGTATCTTAATGTAGTCTACTTGTGTGCCAAGTTATATTAAAATCTGACTAAAACTGTACGAGGAGTAGCATTTTGAAACAATTTCACAAAAAATTTTATTTTTAGCAACCACGGCAACACCGTTTATTGAAATCAAAAACTGATGAATAGAATTATGTATCTTAGTATAGTCTACTTGTGTGCCTAGATATACTGAAATCTATAAGCAAAACTGTAGAGGAGTAGCATTTTGAAACAATTTCACAAAAATTCCTATTTTTAGAAACCTTGGCAACACCGTTCATCTAATTCAAAAAAACAATGCACAAAATAATGTATCTTAGTGTAGTCTACTTGTGTGCCAAGTTATATTGAAATCGTACCAAAACTGTAGGAGGAGTAGCATTTTGAAACAAATTCACAAAAATTTCTATTTTTAGCAACCACGGCAACACCATTCATCAAAATTAAAAACCGATGCATAGAATTATGTATCTTAGTGTAGTCTACTTGTGTGCCAAGTTATATTGAAATCGGATTAAAATTGTAGAAAGAGTAGCATTTTGAAATAATTTCACAAAAATTTCTATTTTTAGTAACCTCGGCAACACCGTTCATCGAAATCAAAAACCGATGCATAGAATTATGTATCTTAGTGTAGTCTACTTGTGTGCCAAGTTATATTGAAACCGGACCAAAACTGTAGGAGGAGTAGCATTTTGAAAAATTGTTTACAGACAGACAGACAGACGGACGGACGACGGACGCATTACTATCGCATAAGCACTTTGGTCTCTGACCAGTAGAGCTAAAAATGCTGTCTAAACTCTAAAAGTCTTGTTGACCTTCACTTAAATAATACATTAAAAGATCACACGTCTAAACCTGACATGCTAAAAATCTTAATTCCCTTAACTACATTAAAATTCCTCTCTAGAGTTCTGGGTAATTTTAACATCCTAGAATCCTGTCAAAAGACCTGGATTACCTTTAGGTAGTACAGTCCTTTCTATAGACCTGAATCACCTTCACTTTTTTATAATCCATAATTATCCACAACCTATCCTCAAGGTCAACACTCATTCCACTGACTCGAGACAACATCTCATTTACACCAAAATCATCCACACATTGCAGGAACTGCCCGTGCTGATCGAGAATATGAAGACAATAATTGTTGAAGAAATCCCCGACAATGATCTTGAGCCTTGAGTCTGTCACAATATGATCTGGTAGGAATTCCTCGTCCCTCATGGCTGGTGTACCGTCATATCGGAATCGGACTCTTCCTGCCTTCGTTAACACAACCACAATGCTGGCATTCAAATCAGCAACGCAGAGATCTCCATTACCATTCTTGGCCATAATTAGAGAAGAGCATCCTCGTCCAAAGATTTCCCTGTTCTTCTTGTCTCTATAAATTTCCTGTTTAACTGTTTGTCCCTGAAAGCTGACAATTTTATTTTGGCCGTCTTTCTCCAGATTGACAAGAATGTTATCTGATGTACAACTTAGTGATTTTGGCTCCCAGTCTTTTGGTAGGGTGATCAACACCTCTGTCTTCCCTTGGTCGACTTTGTTCACTGTTTTGTTTTCAGGATCAATATAAATGAGCTCGTCTGATGAAGTTACAGAAAATTCAACTTTCTGACACTTGGTTGTAAGAGTCTCGTGTACGGTCCCATGTAGGTCGAAACATCTCAGGGTTTTATCATTGTAACTAATCCAGGCTTTATCTTCTCCTACACAGGCCACTCTCGATGGATATCTTCCTCTTCTTCTACCTTCCGTTTCTCCATCTTCCGTAGGAAATGTGGCAATTTCTCTAGCTTTGGCAAATAACTCTGGTCCCTGTGTCAATCTAGCCTTGTATTCATCTAGCTCTATGTACAATTTCCTCCCTTCAGGGCTGCCGGTTATTAAGAAAGGAGCTTGCTCATTGATATCAAGATCTCCATAAAAATCATAGTCTTTTTTGCATTTCATCACCTCGGATTTATAATTTGTGATGTCAGACACTCTGTTGGACTTCAGGATTTCTTTGTTTTGCTGAATTATTTGCTTCAATTTTGGGATTAGGAATTCCTCTAGACTCTTTTTTTGCAAATTCATCTCTTCCCGATATCGATCTTTCATGGACTTTATGGATGAAAGAAATTTATCAAAAATGATGTCGACTTCTTGATGCCATAATTGTCTATGTTCCTCTGATTTTATTTCGAGGTCCATGTAGTCTTCTGTTCTGTATGCCATGTTAATTCCTATATCAAATGTCTTCTTCTCATACATAGGCAAAATACTGGATTCAATTTCTTGAGTTTCCTCTCGGATTTCTTCTTTCTTTCCAATGAAGAACTTTAACATGTCTGTTATACTGTGACCGTTATGGGAATTGATGATGCATTTAATGCAGACAGGGACATCACACTGCTGACACTGGGCCTCACATCTCTGGTTAGAATGAAATTCACAATCGGGCAAAACAAGTGTCGTTCTATCCTTGATGGGAACTATGTCATGCGTTTGAGACTTGAATTTCTTGACATGTTTGTGAACGCACTTTGCACACAAACTGACTTGACAGCAGTCACAAAATTTCTTTGCAGAGTTCTCACAAAGATCACACGTGATAAGTCCATTAGATCTGGAGCTGGGAGAAGCCATTATTTTGCTTTCATAACATTAATCTGAAAGTTAAGAAAAAAAATGAGCTGAGTAAAGTAGAAGTATTATAATTCCTGAATGAAATGACAAAGAAGACAGTTCTGATCATGATAATTGACTGGCAATAATTCATCACAATATGAAGTAATCAGGCCTCAAATAAACAAGAAGCCCATGGGCCATATCACTCACCTGATCACACAGGCTAGTTAAAAAACATATATCAGCTCAGAATTGAAAAATTTACTTGTTGGAGTGGGGGGATTTGAATTTTCTATTACTTGAGAAGGTCACTATATCAATGAAGTCATACTTGAAAAGAAGATTATTCCATTATATTTCTTGATTCCTCGTTGTGACCCCTCGCTACCCCCCCCCCCCTCCCCCGACATTATTTGAATAAATATTAAATATAAATCTACACTACTTGCTGATGCTTACATGTCAATTTGACTAAACAAAACTTTTCTGTTCTTTTTTTTCCTTTGTATTTTTATATGCAGATCCCTCATAGTTTAAACAAACTTGAATCTAAACCACCTGAGAATGTTTCCATTAGTTCCATATAAAAATAATTACTAATGATGGATTAACAATCTTAAAATTACATTTCCTGAGGATGCTTCTGTATAAAAATCACCAATCAAGCCATCGTTTGCAGTTCTTAAGAAGAAAATTTTTAAAAGATGTTTCCTATATATTACTATGTAAAGCTTTGATTGCCCATTATAGTTTTTTTTAAAGATGCCATTAATTTTTTACTAATTCATAATTATATCCCCTTGGAAGAGGGTTTGGCCCTAAATCATTTGAACAAACTTGACTCCCCTTCACCTAAGGATACTTTTTGGCAAGTTTGGTTAAAGTTGGCTCAGTGGATCTTGAAAAGAACCACTAAAAAATGTGAAAAGTTTAAGATGACTACGACGACAACAACGACAGACAATTAACAGACAAATTTTGATCAGAAAAGCTCACTTGAGCCCTTGGCTCAGGTGAGCTAAAAATGGTTTGTACTAAAAATGCACCCGTCTCAAACTTTTTTCAGCATATAATATTTATAAGTGAATTTAACATTTGCCAGTAAGATTTGGCTTTCCATAGATTTTACGTATATAATAAGGGAACAACTGCTTTTTTGATTACGAGGGGCATTCAATAAATAATGTCATTGGGGCTCGGAAAGAAACAAAAAACGCTTTTCTCTAACTTAGTCTTGATGATTTTACTAAAATATTCTCTTTTAACATGTTTAATTAAAACACATATCCGTAACATTTTCATTCAATTTCTAATTGTTTTTCGAACACATTTTTGAATATGACCCTTCGTATACTGGAATATGGCAGATCCTATGATTTGCTGTACTTGTTTTTTTTTTCTTTCTGATAGATGTTTTTCTAAGTTAAGGAAATGAAACAAGTCAAAAGTTGAAAGATCTGGCAAATTTTGTTGGTGTAACAAAACATTAACTTTCTGTTTATCCCCAAAACTCCTTTACTCTTCATGGCCTGTGGGTTTGGACGCCGTCATGAAGATATTTAATGTAGTGAATTCCTCTTTCTGTTTCCTTCCTCTCATAAACCTTTCATTTTTTTGCAAAAAAAAAAAAAATGGTTTTCTAGACTCCTCCAGAAACTGAACTTCCTCCCTGAGTATGAATTTGAACAACAAGAACGCGAATATTCAAGAAAATGGCATATAAAAACTGTTTTATGCTCTTGCAATTCTTTGCTCTTCTTAGGCCTTTGCAGTTTTGTCAATGTACCTCTTATTGTGAATTTGTTTTGAGGGCTTAAAGCAAAATGGATTCAAGTTCCATTATCTGTTACAATTTCATACAAACGTGGATAAGTAAAATTTGTGATTTTTTTAAAATTATTGTTTGGATACTCCTACAAGCTGTCGCTTTCACTCAATTTGAAAAATATAGGGTGACCTTTGAGTATTAAACTTTTTTACTATAAAATGTTTCTTTAAAACAGTTTGAACTACCCCCAAAATGATTTTAATCAAATTTGCTATGTGTCTTTAAGTCAATAAAACATAATCAGTGATAATTTGTTGAAATTTCGCAAATTTACATCGGTTGTTGTCAGTCATTAATGCCAAGGACGGTACCCATTTTTGACGCCCATTATATAATTTTTGTTTATTGTAATCTACTTGTTCACCTGTCAAAATTGAATCGCCATCTGAGGATGATTCCACATGAGTTTCATCTTTCCTGACCCAGTGGTTCTGCAGAAGAAGATTTTTAAAGATTTTTTTGTTGTATTCCTATGTTTAACTCCAGGGCTCCAGGCATTGGTTGCTGTTAATTTTACATATTTCAGTGAATATATTTTGAGAAATTAAAAAGTTTTACAGTTGCTTTAATGAAGCGTTTAATTTTACTCTAGTTTACTGATTCTTGACCATTCATTTTTAATGCAGTGTCTCGAATAACCCTTGTTTTCCAGTTTCCAACGATGAAATAATGCGATGAAAAGTGGTCACACAAACTGTTATCAATTCATTAAAGATTCAATAATGAGAGAAAGTCAAGCTTTATGTCATATGACTACTATGTTGTACGTCATCGAGCTAATGACATTATTTATTGAACGTCCCTCGTACTAAAACAGTTACACGGTTAATTAATATCAGCTAACAGTTTGCATTTATAGCAACTTGAAATCACTTATGCGCTCGAAATCTTTTTCTTAAATATTCCTATGTACAACTATGATCAGCCATTGTGGCCCCGCCCTTCCCCAAGGGGTCATGATTTAAACAAACTGGAATCTACACTACCTGGGGATGCTTCCACAAAAGTTTCATCTTTCCTTGCCCAATAGTTCTGCAGAAGAAGATTTTAAAAGATATCTCCTATATTCCTAAGTAAAACTCATAGCTCACCTGAGCACTGTGGCTAGGAAAAAGTAGAAACTGGTTTATTATTGAAAGTTTAAATCCAAAAGTAGTCCCATGACCAATCATGGCTTTGCTATTCTTGAGAAGAAGAATTTTAAAGAATTTTCCTAAATATTTCTATGTTAAACTTTGATCGGCCATCTTGGCCCTGCCCTACCCCTGGGGGTATGATTTTAACAACCTTGAATCTACACTTCCTGAGGATACTTCCATATAAATATGATCAATTATGACTTTGCTATTCTTGAGAAGAAGATTTTTAAAGCATTTTCCTATATATTTTTATGTAAAACTTTGGTCGGCCATTGTGGCCCCGCCCTATCCCTAAGGGTCATGATTTGAACAAACATGAATCTACACAACCTTAGGATCCTTCCATATAAATATGATCAATTGTGGCTTTGCAATTTTTGAAAAGATTTTAAGAAAAATTCCTATACATTTCTATGTAAAACTTTGACTGGCCATTTTGGCCCCGCCCCTACCCCGGGGGTCATGGTTTGAACAAATTTGAATCTACACTACCTTAGGATGCTTCCAAAAAAATGATCAATTATGTCTTTGTTATTCTTGGGAAGAAGATTTTTAAAGAATTTTCCTCTAAATTTCTATGTAACACTTTGGTCGGCCCTTGTGGCCCCGCCTTACCCCCAGGGGTCATGATTTGAACAATCTTGAATCTACATTATCTGAGGATGCTTCAGTATAAGTATCAATTTTCCTGGCACAGTGGTTCTTGAGGAGAAGAATTTATAAGAATTTTCCTATATATTTCTATTTAAAACTTTGGCCGGCAATTGTGGCCCCGCCCTACCCCCGGGGGTCATGATTTGAACAATCTTGAATCTACAATACCTGAAGATGCTTCAGTATAAGTTTCTTTTTTCCTGACACAGAGGTTCTTGGGGAGAAGATTTTTAAAGAAGTGTCCTATATATTTCTATGTAAAACTTTGGTCGGCAATTGTGGCCCCGCCCTACCCCCGGGGGTCATGATTTGAACAATCTTGAATCTACATTATCTGAGGATGCTTCAGTATAAGTTTCATTTTTCCTGGCACAGTGGTTCTTGAGAAGAAGATTTTTAAAGAATTTTCCTATATATTTCTACGTAAAACTTTGGTCGGCCATTGTGGTCCTGCCCTACCCCCGGCGGTCATGATTTGAACAAACTTGAATATACACTACCTGAGGATGCTTCCATATAAGTTTCATCTATCCTGGCACAGTGGTTCTTGTGAAGATTTTTAAAACATGCAACCAAATTTTTATTAATTCCCAATTATTTCCCCTTGAATGAGGGCGTGGCCCTTCATTTGAATAAACTTGAATCCCTTTCACCCAAGGATGCTTTTTGGCAAGTTTGGTTGAAATTGGCCCAGCGGTTCTTAAGAAGAAGTCGAAAATGTGAAAAGTTTACAGACAGACAGACAGACAGACAGACGGACTACAGACAAAATGTGATCAGAAAAGCTCACTTGAGCCCTCGGCTCAGGTAACCTAAAAATCGTACAGCCCCCCCCCCTCAACACAAACATATACATATATTTACCAAACAGAAAATAAATATTTGTCCCTTAAATATTAATTTATTTAGGACACTGGACACAAAAATTCAAGCTAAACCAAAATTGAAATTATTTGTCTTCTAGGTCAATCAGTAATAAATCAGTATTAAATGTGCCTTCTAGAGTAGCTGAGGTGGATTGAAAATGAATTTCGATCTGCAATTTCAATCCGTGTTTTCCCCACGTCCGCGTCGAATTGTACCATTTCGTCGTATATCACTGAATGTTTTGATTGAAACAGATACACTGTAGAAGTGACGTAAGCTGTGTATTTCCAATTTTGCCAGTTAATATGTTCCGCGGTCTTATTTGAATATGACCATGATGACTGTACCTCGATCTATATTGGGAATGTATTATAAGCTCATGAAAAGAAGTTCACATTTTGACTTTTATATATAACACCCCCCCCCAAAAAAAGAAGAAAATCCTGAATTCTCATTTTCGCTCTCAATTTTCACACAAATGAATAAAATAAAGGTAAAATAGTGTAATAATGGGTTATTTGTTATATCTTAAACTGTATATAAATTAATTTAA